TTATAGATGTCGAAGGTACAAAGGTATTTCTAGTAGAAGGAAATGTTGAATAATTATGTTCGTTCTTATTTCATTTGGAATTATACTTGGAGGGCTCAGAAGCCAATCAGTGTAAGTCACAAAGTAAGTTAAGAGAGATAATGGGTTAGAAAATAGACTGTAGAAAGTAATATATGATATTGAGAAATAAAAAATGAGTCATGAATATAGGATACATATATATGACAGTGGTAGCGTATAAAGTAAACAATGAAAGTGTATTCACACGGCATAAGTCATTTTTAATGAAAGAGTGATTTACATTGATTGACTTCTGAAGCCACCACTTGTACTGGGTGGGGTAGGACGGGTGGCATAACCGGAGAGGAGGTCATTGTGTATGCAGAAATGAATCGAAAATGTAGAATAAACTTTTTTTAAATGACTCTTCATTTTCGAGATAATGGAATTAGAAAATTCATTTAACATGTAAATACATTATCGCTTATAAGCATCTGTACAATTGGACACCTAACAGTTTTATGTACACAGTGTGTTAACGGTATTGCAATGTTATTACTTTTTAGTGAATTAAAATTGTCATTTTTGCTTCTATTTGTTGAATTAAAGAACCATATTGTATTGTATTCTGTTGTAATTTTGTTGCAATTCTGTCGTAATTCTTTCGTAATTCTGTCGTAATTCTGTTATAATTTGGTTACAAATCTACTCAAATTCTACTCCAATTCCATTCAAGTACAATTTCATAAATTCTAAATATTATGGTTCTACAATCATAATTCCATAATTTTCTTTTCTCATTCGATGTATGTCCCAATACCTTTGAACGGAAGTGTACGTATAACTGTGATCTCACTTGTCCCATTAACAGAAATTCATTAATAGGGCGCGTAAAACAAGGAGTTTAATAATTCTGTTTTACGACCCTCCGTGCAAGACCCTTCTACGGTGCGAGGGTCAGGGGGGTGTAAATGATTATAACTCGCAGCGGAGAATTGTTCGGGCCCAAGTGGCGAGGAGGAGGTCGAATCGCGCTGCCTCCATTGGCCGAAAGAATCGTTTATTCTCCCGCGTTATAAACTTTCCGGTCTCAGGGCTTAATTAAAATCTACAGGCCAAGTTTCGACGGAATCTCCTTCGAAAGAAATATTCTGCCCGCTGACTCTTTCGTGTAGCAAGAAATCCGTTCAACAAGTGGAATCGTAAAACCGTCAAATATATTTTCCCCGAGTTCCAGTTATGAAGTCGTCTTTACTGTTTTATACGTTATAATCAGTAATTCTGTAAAAAAAAAAAAGAAATTGAGAAGACATTGTCGGCCTTTATCAATGTTTGTTCCCCTTTTAATGCGTTCCATGGCCATTAGGCCATCGGTAGACCCCGACGAACTTTACATTCTGTTCATTGAATATTTTCACGTTAAAAATTGTAATAACGATCATTTCTATTTATTCAGTATACAGTTACAAAAGTATTCATCCACTGCATGTTTAGTGCAACATATACACTATATATTTAATAAACGTTGAAGTTACAAAAATAATTGTGTGTATTGCATGGACAAAGTACTTTGGAGTAGCTTAGATTTCTGTTTGATTGAAATTTCTCTTTGATTCCATTGTTTGTAAAAATAAACAATAAAGGTCTATATTTACATATATATTCGGAGTTTACTAATTACTATGGAGAAAGTGATATTGCATTCAGATAGAGGAATTTATTAATTGTAGACGTCTAGAGAATGTAAAGTATAAAATTTACAGAGTACAGAACAGAGTACAAAATATGAACTATATATTATTATTAGTTGCTCGTCAATACCGACAATTGTTCGACAGGAATAATACTATTGAAAAAACCTATGGCTGATACGGCGGAACGCAAAAACCCGGGGCAGAATTCGATTTTTAACAAGCCAACCGTATACGTAGATACATCTGTGGTAGGGACAACGTCCTGATTTCTCTGGAGTATTGCCTTTTTTTCTCAGTGAACACCGCTGGCACGCGATAGATGATAAATTGCCAATATTGTCGATTTTCATCGCGGTTCTCGCGAAAGTTAACTGTAATTAAATAAATGCAGTCGAAGAATCAGACGATCAACTCTTCATATGTGACATATTTTCATGCTATGAAGTAATTAATTAAATTCAGAATTAAATTTTTAACGTTGACGTTTGGAGTTTCGAGCAACCACCGTCGCTATTAAATTTAAAGAACTTATTGTTAACTTCTCGTTATTCGTAGTTCTTATATAACTTTATACTAATAAAGATTTTTCTAAGCCTCATTTTCCTTGTACCTACCCATGGAACTAGTTTTCATTACGTTGCGCTAAAACGTCCCGTAAAAGTATAACCCCTACTTCTTTAATGTTAAATGATTCTTCTAAAATATTGTTTTTGTTTAACTATTCTATACTTTCTAAATAGCTACTGTATTTTCTGCTGTACTTTGTTTACATTTACTGCACAAACTTTTCATTGGGTTTGATAATGAAACTAACCTTTACAAATAGGGCTGAATGCAATTAAATAGATTTTATAGTGTGAAGATAGAAGTTAATAGTTTTAAGAGAAGAAGATATCTAAAAAGAGTAGGGTATGTTATACAGGGTACTCGACAACGTTATGCTTAATTATAGACAAATGTAGTATTCACGAAAATAAACAAAAAATTTTATATAAACGTTACTACAAAAATCATTTTATTCTCAGTTAACTGTTGTATTCTCAGTTGTTCGCCATCACTTTAGATCTTTGTTTCATTTCTTAATGATTATCATATGAGTAGTTAGTGTAAGTTAAATGACCCTAGAAATTCCTAATACCGTAATATTATTAATTCTACTAATTGTTGGATTATTTCATTCATTTTAATGAATACTACATGCCCTGATATTTCGGCACAACGTTTCCTCGAACACCCTGTACATAACAGGAAGTTCGTCTCACATATTTCTTATCGATTAAATATGGGACTACTATAAAAGCAACCTAACAGTAAGCACATGCCACTTTGGTACTTAAACCCAGCAGCAATTAGTAGGCCTGTTCGTACTCGCTGGTCGCGATCACTAAAAACATGTGATTCTATGCTAACTAATTCATGAGTATGACAAATACGTATGTATATGACTATGTATGTACAGGGTGCTTCGTAAGTACACGTTAGAATTTCAAGCATACATTACGCCTAGTGCGAAGTAGGAAGAAGAATAGGAAGTAGAAAAATAAAATTTCTTTTGTTCCCCTCTACTTTTGTTTTAATAGAATTAATTGATTCATATATGGATATAATTTTTAATCATATGTTTCAATTGTACTGATTAGAAAGGAGATTTACGTAGAAGTTGACTGAAGTTAATGAAAGTTGTAGTAGATTTGTAATTGTATATCCTCACTTTTTGGGACAATTATTTTCCTTTATATATTCTAAATAAAGGATTATTATATAATCTAATTATATTTTCTTGTCCGAAAACATATTAACACAATATGACTAAATACAAGTTTCCTCAATTTTCAAACACTCAAATTCTTTGATATTCTCATCGAATTGTCAAATTAAAGTATTTCTTACAGAACCCAAAGAACCGATGAGAATTATTGCGAGAATCGTAACAGAACTGCACTTCTACTTCCGTATTGCGGTAACATGATTAAATTCACGCTTTCTGAATTTTTGAAAATTTCATTATTTTATAATCTTACTGACAAGAGAAGGCATGGAAGAGTCCCCCTCCGATTTTGATGAAACTTCGTATGTCTGTTAAGCAGTCAAAAATAAGAGATACGTATTTTTTTTTATCAGCCGAGACGCGACTTTAAGGGGTGGAACCACCCCTCGAGGTTTTGACCCGAAAGTACTTTCTCGAAAACCAGAGGAGATACATGAAAACTAATGGACGAGGTTTGCGGTTCTTTGATGTAAAATAATATGGTGCTATCAAACTGTCTAAAATATAAATTGTTTATAATAAAAAAAATTTCGGTTCAAAACTTCGAGGGCTGGTTTCACCCCTTAAAGTCGTGCCTCAGCCGATAAAAAAAGTACACATCCCTTATTTCTGACTGCTTAACAGACATACGAAGTTTCTTCAAAATCGGAGGGGGACACTTCCGTGCCTTCCCTTGTGAGACGAAATGTTTTCCACAGACTCCGAAGGATTAAAGAAAAAATTTACAACAATGCGAATCAATACCCCGAACGCTAAAGATTATTCATAGTCTTTAATAATTACCCTAAAAAAAAAGAAAAAGCAAAAGAATCCCGCAGAAACTACACTTCTACTTCCATACTTGTCAGATACCGGAAGCACTCTGTACCGAGCGCGACCGCTCGAACAGGAGAGGAGTGAACCTAACGCTCTACTACGCCTAGAACAGACTCCAGCAGAGAGTAGTCATCCTACAACAAGAGGGTAGATAGGAGGGGAGGGGGGCTGGAAACAATATGCAAGACGTTCTCGCAAGCTATCGTCGACTATTTCGCAAGCTGTTCTTTCTGTCTTTCTTCTTCGCGTTACGCTCTTTTATTCTTCTCTTTCTTTTGTTTTTGCGGTTCGGGGAGGGGTGAAAAAGGTGGAAAAGAGGAACCGCGAAGGAACTGTGCCGAAGTTTAAGTTCGCGGCTGTTATATACAGGTGTACATGTACACGTTCGTGTACACCGGCGGTTCTATCGGGGCTGATCGGTGAAAATGGATGTCGTACAGAGAAAGAGAGAGATAGATATAGATACATAGATAGAAAGAGAGAGAGAGAGACATGGTTTGATGATAGTGGCGGGCTGCTGGCGGTGGTTTTCTTTTTTTTTTTTTTTCGTTCATAGCTCTGGCAATGGTGCAGTTAAATGCAGTGCTGTGAAGGTGCAGGCACACGCGCATATAAGTAGTGCAGTAGTAGTAGTAGTAGGTAGTAGTAGTGATGATAGTAGTAGTAGTAGTAGATAAGGTAGTCCATTACAGGCGGACACAGGTTAATGGTAAAATAGTTACCCGGGCCTTGGCGCCGCCAGAGTGATCTCCGCTCGCGGAGGAGGAAGGACTCACCCGGTATCCACCGAGGTTGTTCACCACGCAGGTGAAGGTAGCGTCTCGACCCTGCGGGATCGTTACGTTCTCCAACGGGTAAACGAAGTCTGGCTCGAGCCCCGTCACTGGAACAGTCAACCAAGTAATTTTATATTAAAGTCTGCTCGACGGCCGAAATAAACGCCTGGATGCTGGAGCCTTCAAGTGGGTATGTACAGCATGGTAAATGGGAATTAGTTTATTATTGGACAACGTAAAGTGCTGGCATAATTCGTTATACTGTAGGGTTATTGGATGGAACGCTTACATTGACGTTATTTTCTTGGTTGCCATCTGATGGATTAGCACAGAGGCGGCCAACTCGAACCAGAATAAACCGATCGGTTGGGAAGACGGAAGCCGCAGGAAGGGGAACTGCGATTGTGTGAGCCGCGGTCCGGATAGGGCAATTCGTGAGTGCGGAAGCCTCAGCTTCTTTACGGATACCAAACACGCATACTACTGTAGTCGTTCCAACCTGCAATATCGGTGTTCCGGTCTCGACGGTGGGAACGCTACGGCTCATTCTGGCTCGAGTTGGCTGTCCATGGGTTAGCATATCATTGTTTGGATATAATATTAGGTTAATACCCTTGGGTATTGTTCGAGTCAACTTGATCCAAACTCAGATTGTAATATTTATTTTAGAGATTTTATGAGGGACACTTTTAAATTATTTTGATACCTGTAGTTTATATACAGGGTGTCCTAAAATTTATGACAATGACCTGATGCAAACACAAATCCAGAAGTCCTTTACCGCTTTGTAATCTGACGCTCCATTTCCGAGATAATTGCAGTTAAACGAACTCACGTGTACGCGCAGCGTAGTCAAGAAGCGCACGACCCACAATCAATTTGTTTTATGCGATATATGAAATGATCACTTTACTACGAGAAGCTACTCTTAATTAATATTCCTTGTGACATGGAAGAATTTAATAATATGATGTTAGAAATCTATAGTGATTAATATAATATAAAATTCATACTCCTTAATAATTAAATCAAATTACAGTTACATTAAGTAAATTCGATTTATCAATGTGGCTGTCAGACGCTAGATCACATAAAAAGGTAAATTTAGAAGTTTCCAGCAAGAAAATAATAATATCGAGGAATTATATGTTAAATTGTTCAAAGGCGTTCCATTATTCATAACTGAATGCTACTTGAATCATGTCCCCCATTTACACATATCTTGTCATCCAACGCGGCTTTCATTCCTTAGACGCCGCTCACGTATTAAAGAAGTTCGGTCTGGAACGAGATAACTCGCGTTTATCACATCGAACGGCACTTCGCTTTATGAGATCGCGTTTGTCAGACGGAACTTCACGGTTTATGCACGCGAGGAAAAATAGAATTGAATGGTGAGCCGTGGTGCTCCAACGATTTCACCGGAATTAAACAAAGTTTGATACGGTAACAAGAAAGGCTGTGTGGTTTGCGTTGAATGAATGCATGCTTGTGTACTGCGGAAGCAGACGGACAGGAATATTCTGTACGTTATATCATCGTTTTGGGGTGCAAACTAGAAAAAGGTTCGAAATATCACAAGCCGTAAAGGTTACAGTGAGTTGAATACACTTGATTGGATAACTCTCAATTGAGAATACCTGCTTCTTTTTCATTACGAGGTCACTTGTGTTCATAATTTTCGGCTTCTATGAACTGAAAAGTATCCCCACTTATTTGCAGACTGTTCGAAGATTTCAAATACGGTACCCAATAGCGCCAATACCCTCATCCTTCCCACCAATGAACCATTTTGACGCTAAACTGGAAACCCTTGAAAATCTAATAGTGCCATCTTTTTATTATTCGATTATTTGATTTCACAGTTTTCGGAAAAAATAGTCGATTATTAACTTTTACCCGTAATAATATCAGTTTATGATTATTAGTTTTTTACTACAATTCTAGAATACGCGACGTCGTATTAGAGAATCCAGGAGAGTGGAAATTAAACGGATCTAAGGGATTAAAAAATAAATTGGTGGGACAAAACGTCCCCTGAAAAAAAAAGAACTAGAGATAACATTGCTCCAAGTAGCAGAGAAGTGTGATAACCGCGTACATAACTAATGTTCAGGGTCATGGATTAAAGTGGCCACTGCGATAATCGTTGCTATTCGCTTTTCCTTTTTTCGGCGAGTTACAATTCAGATTTCTGTCAAATCTCGATGACCTCTGAAAAATAATACGATTAAGCGATTAAGTTTATGAAAATTCCTATTTTTACAGTTCATTTCACAAAAAGTGTGTATTTTCTATTACAGACTTTATTAAGTTAAAAGTAACATGAATAACCAAACTATCGTATCTCAAAGTCAAATATGTCACGTATGATAACAATAATAAAAATTATAATAAGAATCTTCTATACCACACGAATCTTAGTATATCAAAACGTAAAACAAAAATTGGAGAAAAAAGCAACACACAGAAATATAAATATTATACAGCACTTTAAAAATTCACAAATAGTATAAAAACCGAGCTTTAACCTAATATCGAAGACTACTCCAAAAAGGCTTCATTGAGGATTATTAAATATAAATCGACCAGTCTGTGTGATAAAATTAACGAGGATTGCGGATTGATATAGCTCGCGGTAATAGAAACCGTAATTAATGGCCATATAAATTGCCGATATATGCGAATGTACCCGCCGATCGGGAACCACGTTTTTCGTGTCAGTAATTTCGAAAGGCAGCTTCTAAATAAACGAATGGAAAATAAATTATTCGTTGTGTATTCTACAAGTAAATTACAAACTCTGTTAAAGTATACTTATTTAATGCAAAGTCTTGTATATTTGTTCGTGTCGATTCATCCTTTAAACCAGTAACCATCACTGCTGTTATCGCCCTATACATTACTCTCTTATTAATAATACAACTTATTATGGAACACCCTGTACACAAACTCTTTTTACTCGTCGCTGTAAAATAACAAACATCTAATTATATGTACACACACCTGAAAGCAGCGACCATCACTGTATATACCACTCATACAATCACCTTCTTACTAGTTGTAGGATTTATTATGAAACATCCTGTACACGAACTCCTTTATTCATCGTTTCAAGGTAACGAACGTTTCCCACAGACCAAAGTCTATCGTTTGTCAAATTGAAATGCACTGGAAGTCCCGCGAATAAGTCACACCAATTACAGGAACGTTACAGGAATTCCCATTGTCATTCGCCGGGACAAAAACGTTCGCTGGGAAAAGTGGAGCGTTGAGACGTCCCGTAAATCGTATTACAATGAAAAATTAGGAGGAGGTCCAGAGTATTCCTAATGCGCCCGGGACGACAGTTATGCAATCGGGCATATATCACGAACAACCCGTGGCGAAATAAAGGTGCGCCCGATAAAATGGCCGCCCCCTAGCCTCTCTCAACTGGAAAGAAACTGATTCGCCAGGGGCGAGGACGGAGGGGGGACGGTTTTTTGTCATTTTTACATGAAAAACGTAAGCGTGGCGAATTCAAATTTGCCGGGCGACGACTGGTTCGCCGCGATACGATGGAACAAGAAACAGTGGAACGATGGAGGTCTCGACGGTTAAGCGAAATTTTTTGCCGGATGGATTTTCTACTTGAAGAACGTTTAACTCTTTTTAGTTCGACACTTGCGTCGGGACGACATATTCCCCTGTTCGTGAACTGTCCATCCTTATCGGTGACGCAATTTTGCTGAACGTATGATACAATTAATATAGATCTTTTTGCACTGATACGGGGATAAATTTGATTACTATATTAACCTGTTTACTAGGGGAAGACGACATAATTCGTTATAAGAATTTGCCGTTTTTCTTTTCATTTATGTATAGAATCTCTCATTCTATCGTGTTATATTATTTATATTCGTAGAAGTAATTTGCTTACTCTATATTACTTTATTAATCGGTTTACTGGGGAAGACGAGTTAACTCGTCATTTCTGCTTGATTGTACCCTTCCCATAATTTTCCATTTTTCTTTTCATTTGTGTACAGAATTTGTTATTCTATCGTGTTACATTATTTACATTGGTGCAAGGAATTCGATTACTTTACATTACTCTACTAACCTGTTAACTAAGGAACCTAAATGGAAATATTAGCTACCACTGATGTCATATAGAGATTTTCGAATTGCATATTTTCAATTCTTGCGACGAAAATGTCTGTATCAAATTTTAAAGAATTTCTCGGATGAGTTCTGGTGGCGTTCTATACACTTCAGCTACTATTTCGGTGGCAGAATGCCCACAGGTAGTCCTTTGAACACGCGTGACTGGACTCGTGCATTACATATCGCACTTTTTCGCCAAAATTTAATTTCGGGAAACATTAATCGCATTAAAAGAATTCTGTCGATGAAATTTTTTTCTTACGTCGGTACCTCCCCACATTCTACAATGAATTCCAATCAACTTCATATTCAGAGGAACAGAAAAATGTCCATGCTTCCGCGAACGCGTCAGTTTTTTAATTGAACTTCACTTGATATTTTGCGCGTTGAAGCCAAATCTATCTTTTCAATTAACGGAAACTGTGATTGGAAGATGAAACTTGGAAATTTAAAAATTTCTTTTTGCTCCTTGGAAAATCGTCTTGTATTCGCGTATTAAGTCGATATGATTTGATATTTCATTAACGTGATTCTTCAAGTGATACGGAAAGGTGACACACAGTGGTTAGTTCTATTTTTCTGTTTAAAAAAAAATAAAGTCAGTCGAGGTACGAGGGAGAAATAACCGGGAAACGTTTTCTGAAATATCAAATGTCATTTATGGGGCTGCGGGTCAGCAGTTCATGACAGTTCGTATGAAAGAACGCGACCATTAAAAACTCTTTCAACTACAAAAATCATTTCCAATATTTTCCGGCAAATAAAATTCCGATATGCACGTGAAATAAGAAAGTGTGTTTCTATAAATAAAATAACAGTAAACTCTCTTTTCTTCAGTGTTTAACATACGATTCCAAATATAAATGTTAACAAAATTCAATAATATAGATAACATCCGATGTTTCATCCACAAAGTGTGAAAAGAGAATATAGTGTATATTATTTTATTTTGATT